GCTCTCTTTGATATACCCAAAATTAAAAATTTGCATTTTCTAGCCCTGATTTATCTCACTAATCTTCAAGTTATATTGGATTGATTCTGGATATATCATTTAGATAATCCACCATCATCCTATGTATCCAAAAGCTGCTGTTGTTTAGGGGCCCCCTTTCTTACACAATAACAACAAAACAGTCTCCTTCTGAATTGCCCATTTTGGTTCACTGAACCATAATTCTCCAAAATAAAAGAACTTCAGAATATCTTACATAGAAAAAGACCTCAAACCTCTAATAGCACGACCTCTGTGCTTTCCAGATAAAATGATACATAAGTTGCTCTGTGCTGTGATTAAGACTTGAATCCATGGCCTTTAAGTTAAACAAACAACAACAAAACCTGAGACTCAGAGTCAGATGACTTGAATTATAAATCTTTTTCTAATATCCTATGCTTAAGCTCTTCATCTGAATGATGTACATGATAGTGACAATCTTACAGGATTTAATTAAATGAGGTAACGTATGTGAGGACTTTTAGCACGGCTCAGAGGATTTAGTAGATGTCTCAGCAGATGTCTATTGAATAAATTCACTCCTAAAATCAATTGACCTTTTCTAGTATTTCTTTTCTTTAATAAGATCCAGTTCTTTATTTTTTTAGTAATTATTTATTTTCATATGGTGCTAAGGATGGATCCCAGTGCTTCACACATGCTATGGAAGCGCTCTGCCATTGATCTACAGTCCCAGCCCCTTTTCTAATATTTCTAATAGCATCTAATAGCATTTTCAGTGTGAACACTCTGTTCTCATTGGCTGGATACCTGAGCACCCTTGGGTCAGCCATGAAGTCGTGTTATACCATCCACTTCTTCCAGAATGTCTACTCTGGCCAATTTAGATAGACTTTTTTCTTAAACTGAAAGGCATGAATCATACCCTATCTTGCATCATTGTTCTTAATTGTTTCATTCATAAATATGGAAATTCTACTCCTCTGAACAAATTGTAACTCTTTGAGCAGTTTTTAGGAAGTCTACTCAGGGCCAGAGGTGCAGCTCAGTGATAGAGTGCTTATCTATCATGCATGGTATCCTATCATTGCTGGTTCAATCCCCAGAAATCCTCTCAAAAAAGTAAGAAAAAAAAAAGCATATTCAGTAGCCCCTCCACAGTATATTGTTGTGGACTCAAAAATGTAAATAATAATGAAAAATCTTAACTTTCATAAAAACAAACTATAGAGAACTCTTCCTATAGAGCAGATTCATATGCACAATCATTTTTTCCTGAAGCAACATCCTAACTATGGTAGAAATTTTTAGGCAAAGATGATTAGAAATTGAGAAATATTTTGTATGCCATAAAATGCATTCGTTTTGTAAAATAATCTAGCATATCTAAATACCATATACGGCAGATTAAAGGAAAATGTCACTTAAAATACATCAGTCATTCCTTAATTAAAAAAAAATCACAACCACATTGTAATATATCTTCTCCAATTGAAGTATCCTGATCGTATTTGTGGATAGTGAGCAGGGAATTTGCTGGTTCAAGATTAAAGGAAAGGGCTGGGGATGTGGCTCAAGCGGTAGCGTGCTCGCCTGGCATGCATGCAGCCCAAGTTTGATCCTCAGCACCATAACAAACAAAGATGTTGTGTCTGCCAAAAACTAAAAAATAAGTATTAAAAAAATTCTCTCTCAAAAAAACAAAACAAAACAAAAAAAAACAAAGGTGAAGATGAGGAATTGTTTTTTCTTCCCATCTTCCTGTTTACAGTTGATAGTTAGTTTTATATTTTCTATTACCTTTTTTTTCTTGGATTGGCTAATAGCTAGCTTTATATTTATAAGACAGGTACAGTATTAGCCACATTCTACCTGTTTGGAGGTGCCAGGATATAAAAGACAAAATGTACTCATGGCTTCCTTTGAACAACATTCTGTTTCCTGCTCTTGGAATCTTGGTTATTATGTCAAATAACTGGACAATTTGGTGGGCGTGGCTCATGAAAAATAAAACAATTAGTCAAATAGATCACATTTCTGAGTCCATAGGCTAATTTCAACAGAATTGCAACTTGACACGGTATATTAAGAGTGACTAAGAGCTATACATCACCTATCACAGTGAAGTACCCTTTCCCATTGAATTGCACATCCCATATTCATAGTTTGCATCTTGTACCTCATTGTTCCTGACTTGATTTCACATCTCATATTGCATTTTGCAAAGTTTCTAGGAAAAAGAATAAATATTAATGTAGTAGGTGCTTGTAGAAGTTGGACATTTTCTTACTATGGCATCTCTGCTCTACTAAGTTTTGCAGCAGTGATAGTTGAGTATTATTACAGACGTGGTAGTCTTCTAATGTAAGATATATTCAAGGTCTTAACAAGTAAGGAGTCTGGATAACTAGATTATATGTCCTATGGCCAATCCAATAAAAGCTACTTAGAAATTTATATTTTACCCATAGTTGGAAAAAATATAAAAATGATTTCTCACTTTAACACTAACATACTGAAAATTCTATTCACTGGGTTCTAGTATTTTCATTCTTGTAATTCCCAAACCTATTAAGAAAGCAGTTATGCCAGTTTCTTTCTTTGAAACAATTCCAACTTTGTATTGTAGATCTTTCTGCAGATATGTAGAGATTTATTTTCAGTGGTACACAAAACAGAAGATGGAATCATTTGTTTTAGAAAGTACCTATTTTGAAACTGAATTTCTCTTCTTTGGTATGATCATATTAAGTTCAAGTTTAATTTTTTATGAAAAATAAAGTGTTTGATAAAATGCCACAACTCAATAAATATTAGCTGAATGGAGATATTAATTGAAGTTAAATAAAACTAGTTTTAAATATAGTCTTTCTCCAGAGGGTGAGTTTGATTATGCTGTTACAGTTTTCAAAATTGTTTTATTCTTCCTGAGGCTACCATATTCATTCTGTTCAAACCAAAGTCTCCAAATAAAAAACACTAGTTTTTCTTCCTCTTAAAAATAAACAAGGGCTGGGGATGTGGCTCAAGCGGTAGTGCGCTTGCCTGGCATGCACAGGGCGCTGGGTTCGATCTTCAGCACCACATAAAAATAAAATAAAGATGTTTTGTCCACCGAAAACTAAAAAATAAATATTACAAAATTCTCTCTTTAAAAAAATTTACAAATTTGATTAACTGCACGGCATACATTTTATTTATGTGATTTAACTGCATTTTTTTCTAGGTTATAAATTGTGCAATACAGGAAACTCATAGACTAGAACTCAAATGAGAGCTGTGAAAAATTCAGACATTCTGTTTGCCTTGACAGTTATCTTATAGTCAGTAAAGTTTTTTTGTTCTTCTTTTTTTTTTTTTGGTATAACTCTTTTTCCCTCTTGTTTGGTCACCTACATACTCCATTCCTCAACCATAGAAGCAAATAATGTCTAAAATTGGCGCTGGTTTTGATAAGTCAGGGTGATGACATCAGCCCAAGTTCTAGCTGCTGGAATGCAGAAGTGTACCATAGAGTGAGTCGTGGGAAGTTAAATCCCAACATAACTCTTCTTGTCATTATGTCACTCTTTGAAGCCAAGGCTTGTGTTCAAATGTCCCACACCGGTTACACACAGGAATTCTCCAATGTCTGCTTTGTCAATGTGGGAGAGAGTAGAAGGAAGAACTGCTTTTCTATTTTAAAAGACAAGAAGTTTAAAATTATATATGATGCACAACATCAATGTCTTTAATATTATCCAACTCTACACTTAAAAACAGAATAGTAAATTTTACATTATGCATTAAAATACCATTTTACCATAGTTAAAAAAAAAAAACCTATGAGATAGATCTGAAATCCACATCCATATGCCTTAGAGGTTTTTCTAAGTTGTATATAAATTTACAGGTCCATTATATAATCAGTTATAACTCTGTGATCATACGCAGATTGCTCTTTCTTCAACATCTGCTTGAATCCTAAGCATTAATTCTTCAGCCATTAGTAAACAGCACTCACTTGGTTGAAGTTTTAGCTAAATGTGTTGCAGAATTTTTTTTTTTTTTTTTAAGCCTCAACAACACGGTGAGTGGGAGCCAGGGAGCATGGGGAAGCATTGCTTGCTCCTAAGTAGTTGGAAGATTTACTGATGTGAGGAGCTAGGGAGTGGAGAAAACTTTATCTCCTATTCCCAGGATTCCTCCTGTCCCAGCCCTGAGTGCTTGTTAGAAGAACTAGCAAACGCTAGCCAGGGGGAGTTATTGGGCTGCTGGGTCCCAAGAATGACTGGCTCAAGCTCTTCCTAGAGGGCAAATTGCTGCATCAAGATGCGTCCCTTAGGGGCTGGCGTTGTGAATCAGTGGTAGAGTGCTTACCTAACATGTGTGAGGCACTGGGTTTGACTCTCAGCACCACATATAAAGAAATGAAATAAAGGTCCACCAACAACTAAAAAAAAAAAAATCTTTTTTAAAGAGAGGCCAGGGATTAAAAAAAAAAAAAGATGTATCCTTTACTCTACTGCCTCCAGTCAGAATCAATCTAAAAGTAAAGTCAGCATAGGCTGTGCAGCGAGGCTGTGCAGCAGCTCAGAAGCTGCCAGAGGGCGGTGCCTGTCTGGGGTGGCAAGTAGGGTACTTTTGCAGGCTGAAAATCACCATAAGTACAAGAGGTATTAGAAATAGAAAGCACACAATATCGGGCTACGGTTTTCATTACCATTGTCCTAATGCAGAAACTTCTACTTGTGTACATGCACTGAAATGATACCTGAGTATCTACTACACTCTCCGGATTGCCACTGTGCCTAACCAGTGCCTAAGGAGATGCCTGGCGCTAGGGAGGCGCTCAACAAGTGAGAAGCTCAACTGTGAAGTAGAAACCCGGATACCTCAGGAGAAGAGGCATTCTCAATGCTCTGGGATTACAAACACAACCCACAGGTGCTGTCACTTTTCTTCGAAGTCTCCATTTCCAGCCCGACCTGACCGTCCCACACCCTGGAACTACCTACCAAAAGCGGCGACCAGCAGACTGACAGCACGCACATGATCCCCATAAGTTGGATGGCCGTCTCAGTTGTGATCCGGCCCCACTGGGCACTGGACTGCGATGCCGCGGCTTTGGCCCGGCAGCGGGACACCAGGGCCTTAATGGTGGCCAGGTTACAGGCGAAGGTGACCGCCAGAGCTAAGAGCCCCAGGAAGGCGAACGTGGAAGCGAAGAAAACGTTGCCCCAGTTGTTCGAAGAGTTAGTCCCGTTGCCCCCTCGCCCGGTGCTGATGAAACACCACGTCCCGGGCCACTGGACAGTGTACTGGCCTACACCCAACACAGGCAACAGGGCAAAGGCCAGCACTGACAACCACACACAGAACAGCACCGCACGGGTAGCGCGTGTCTTCATGTGGCTCGCATACCAGTGTGGCGCCCGAATGGCCAGTGCCCGCTCGACGGCCATGGCGCTGGCAATGAAGAGCGAGGAGAGCCCAAAAACAGTCATAGTCAGACCGAAGAAGGTACACAGCCGCCCCGACGGGTCGTGCTGCTCCCAACGCTGCTTGGAGAGGTACACGACAATGACCACCGGGCTGGTTAGCAGCTGCCCGACCAGGTCGGTGAGCGCTAGCCAGCCGATGCACAACAGGAAGGACTTCTTGCGTTTGCTCTCCCGGCGCCGGTAGCTGCGAGACACCAGCAGCATGGCTAGCGCGTTGCCCACGAAGCCGGTAATCAGCATGGTAATTGGGAAGGCCACGGACACTGACCCGCAGTCTTCGCTGGACCCTGGGGGCCGGGTGAGGTTGCCCCGCGCCTCCGCGGAGCGCTCGTGAGCCCACATGCCGGGGTAGGAATTGTTGAGGCGGGTGCAGAAGGGGGCGCCCCCGCCGTCGCCCCGGGGTTCCTTCATGTTGGCTTTGAGGTGAGGAGTGGATGGCCCCCGGAAAGCAGCAGAGAGAGCTGGCAGTGGAGTCTCGGGCAGTGACCAAGGCCAGTGGCGACCCAGAAGGGGACTGGACTGCCCTCCATGGTGCGGGGCGCAGCCTCCGCCTTGCTCCGCTACTCCCGCCTCTGCAGTAGCGCCGCCGGATCTTTCAGGCTAGGAAAGCGGGTAGTACGCTCGGGAAAGCCTCAGGCTCCCAGGCGAGGCCGGGTGCCCAGCCCCTCTATTAAGTCCGAGGGGGCGGGGCGCCATGGGTGTGGGCTGAAACAAGGTGGGAGGAGGGCGGAGAGGCAACTGAGCGCTTCTCTCTGCAGTCGGCTGGCTTTTCTGGCCCGCAGCGCTGGGAAAACTTCCAGGCGGACTTCTCTCCTGACCTCCCTGCTCCTGGCAGGACCACTTGCCGTTTTGCCGGCCACAGCGCCTCCTCCAGTTCTCCCGCAGGGGAGTGTCTGAGGGTGGAGAGCTGTTTAAATGTCTCACTGGGCTTCTCAGGAGAGCCGCTGACAACCGACCTGAGCACCTGTCGTCCTTCTCTAGGCACAGACGCTCAAACTGGGACCTTCTCCCGAAGCACTTTTGTAAACCCTCAAAGTGTAAATCACTTATCCTTAAGCAATCTACGCAACCACAGTCCTTCATATAGCTTTGCTTGGACAATGTTTTCTTACTCGGGAGCCTAGAATGGTCATGAAAAGGCCATGCTGTCCTGCTCCTGGGGCGCCACTTAAACTGCAAAGTTAATACAATATCTGGAAAGTCAAGGGTCTAGACACCGGGAAATAATCAATCCCATTTAAAGACGAAGAAATCCCAACTACTATTCTGTCCCTTCTCCCCCTCCTCTAAAAGGAAGTCAGCTAAAGCAAAAGTTGCTAGAAGCAAATGATGGCCACTTACATATCTGAAAGAGTGAAATCAACTGCCCCCAGCTGGAGGAAGCAGCATTTCCTTACAAAGCGTTCAACAATCCTTCTCCATCCCTTTGCTATTTCTCTAATAGCACTAGAAACTGCATTTAGCTGATAAATGCCTTAATCCACATAGAACCTTTTCCTGTGAAAATAGGATAATTGCCTAGTAGCATTTTCGTGGGCCAGTATTAATTTTTTTTTCACAACGTTTCAAAACCACTTTTATCTTAGATCTTCCAAAACACTATTGCTACTATTATTACTCTTCTTTTTAGGCGAGGTAACTGAAGCTCCATGAAGTTATTAAAAGGATGTGCCCAAAATTACTCAGCTATTTCCGGTCCATTCTCCTGAGCAGTGTCTTTACTGATACCATAACTGCTCTCAGCAGATGAAAATTAATGGAAACCAGTTTTTCACAAATCTCTGGAGGTGTGGCTTCTCCACCTCTTCACATTGTGCAGAAAATGAAGATTTAAAAAAAAAATATTTACAAATTTCAGTTTCCCTCATACTTAAAAAATAATACTTAATCATATTCAGAGTGAATCAAAATTTTTGGCCCTAGTTTAGGTGATGTTCTGTTGGGTGCAAGTGGGTACACAGTTGAAAATATGTCTTTCTTTCTGATGTTTTGATTCTGTAAGTGCTTGGGAAAAAAAATCATTATAGTGTTGTATAATGTTTAAGAAAAAAAAAAGCCAGAATGTAATTTAAAGTACACTTGATCTACCTGCATTAATCACAATACTAATTTTGTTTTTCTATCATCTTTTAAAAGTTCCTGCATTGGGCTGGGAATGTGGCTCAAGCGGTAGCGCGCTCGCCTGGCATGCGTGTGGCGCGGTTTGATCCTCAGCACCACATACAAAGATGTTGTGTCCCCCGATGACTAAAAAATAAATATTAAAATTCTTTCTCTCTAAAAAATAAAAAAAGTTCCTGCACTTTTAATAAAATGTCATGCTTACAATGAAAACTACTAGGAAGGAACAGTAATTTTTCATCAATAAAATTCTAGTGTAATGTTATAATTAAGAAATATTATTATTAATTACATAGCAAAGAAAGTAAGCCTAATGTCATTACATTGTTACTTTTAAATTTATGAATAATTATTTAAAATGATTTTCTTCAATTACACTGTATGCAGTAATAAGTTGGACTTCTTAAGAATGACAAACATCAGGTGATATATTAACAAATATTAAAATTAGCGTTTTTAGTCACCTCTACACCAATACATTAAATGTGTTGTTTCATTTTGTGTAACATCTCTTTAATTCACCATTTTGTTTCATCCCAGTCTGTTATTTGATTTGCTGCTATTCACCCTGTAAACTAGTGACTTTGAGGAGTCATACAAAGGAAACTGTAGTTGAATTCTTGTTGGCACTTTTAGCTCAAGTTATTACAGAAATAATTTGCAGGCCTTGGTCTGAAACAACATCACCCCCTAGTGATCTAAAAGTTAATAACAAGCAGTATGCTATCTTGACAATTTCTGGTTAACTACTGCATGCTTTCTTAGGAAACCTGATTTCTTTCTAGACATCTATTTATTACGTAACTGTAGTTGCTTTGTTTCACATTAAGATTACAAATTTGCACCTTTGATAAATCAATAAACTTGTGGAGGATTAAATAAAGACCACGTATTCAAATGTTTTTAAAAGTTTTAAAGCAAAACTCACATTTTAAATTCTGCCCTAGAATTATTTTAATAAATTGTACCCCTGTATCTTATAGTTTTTATATGTATTTATATCAATATTTAGTGATGTTCACTTCTGCTGAACTTCAAGAAATCTTAAATAGGGATACAAATATAAAATAATGGGACTGGGGGTGTAGCTTAGTGGTAGTGCTTGCTTAGCATACGTATATGCTGTTTTGATCTCCAATACCCAAACAAACCCCACAAGATTAATAATTAGTTCCACGTAATCAGGTCCTTCATTACTTTATTATGATGGGAAGTATTTGAAATTGTTTCCATAAAGTCAACTGTTTAAATATATTTTTCTCATTCTAGGAACACTCATTGAGCAACTAGTCTGTCAGACCTAGTCTGTTATTAGGGATACAAGAAATCACATTAAAAAAAAGTCTCTACATCAATAGTTTAGTGTGAATCTCTTCATTTCTACACAAAGAACACTGGTATCAGTCTTGTTTTCTCAGAATTATCTGCCACGGAGGCAAGATCTTATATGAATCTCTTCACATGAAACAATTATGTACGGTTTTCATGACTGAGTTAAATTTATCTCAGAAATGCAAAGTAGATCTTTCAATCATCAACCAACACAATTACCACCTCAACAAAATAAAGGTGATATGCTGAAGTCTTTGCTAAATCAAACAGCTGCTTGCACCTAAGAATCCTGTACTATAATTGCCTTATTTACATGTCCAATAACTTCTTACTAGAAACTGAGCACTATAGTTACAGCATTGCAGTGTGATGCTACATTACATTGTTCTGAGGATTACTGCTCTACTTGACAGTTTGTCTGGATTCAAATTGCCAAAACTTTACAGCTAGCTATTGGTAGCTCTGTTGTTTTCCACAACTGCTTTTAGCCTGGTTCCTGGATGGATACTCCCCATTCCTCTAATGACTCATTAGTGGGTGATGAGCACCATCCTGTGGTTTCCTTGATTCTAGGGATCCTCTTTTCAGACTCATCCACTGGATTAGTGTTGTATCGGTCCATTCTAAGCTTTAAAACTGCTTTTCTAGCTCAAGGTACGCACAGTGGAGAACGTACTCCTTATGAAGAATTCTATTGTTGTGCGTGCAAACTCAGTCTTTAAAGGCAAAACTATTATATACTTTCACAGGTATGTAGTCTTCCTTTGGCTTTATGGGTCTCCACAGTTTTAACTACTAGACATGGTTCTGGGCAGTTGTACTTTATTTCTTTGGAGGTTCTCATTGCTGGGATCTTCTTATGTTTGCAGTGGCTTTTCAACTCTTAAATCTCTGGCCCTCTTTGCCAGGAGGCTCTGATATTTTTCCAAAAGTAGGGCAGCACCCCGTTAAAACCTTCAGTTCATATGCAGGGCTTTGTTTTGAGATTAATTCCCTTTGGGGCTGAGGTTGTGGCTCAGCGCAAGAGCTCTTGCCTAGCACGTACAAGGCCCTGCGTTTGATCCTCAGCACCACATAAAATTGGATAAATTATAAAATAAAGGCATTGTGTCCATCAACAACTAAAAATCCCCTTTGAATCCTTTTCAGTTATTTACTAGAATTAAAAAAAAAAACCAAAAAACTACAGTTTGTTAACTGCAAGGCAATGTGATACAGGAATAGACATTGCCAGAATTTCAATGTCGCTTCAAAATTCTCGTGTTTAAATACAATGGCTAATATGCAAGGTATGATGATGTATGTCTGTTACCCTAGTTACTCAGAAAAACTGAGGCAGAAGGATTAAAGATTTGAGAAAAAAGCTGGGGATTGTTCAATGATAGTTAACATGGGTTAAATCACAGGCCAGAGGCTAATGTGATGGCATATGAGTGTTGAAGCCACGAGGGGCTTTCTCTCCAAGAGGAATTAGTTCCCCTTATTTGCTGCTGCCTGCCCCCCCTCACCCCCCCTTTTAAAAATAGCCTTTCCGCCTTCCATTATGTGAAGATGCAAGTAAGGCCTTCTACTAAGCATCAGATGCTGGGACCTAGATCTTGGACTTACTCTTTATATATTACCCAGCCTAAGTTATTGTTGCAGCTGCAAAAAAAAAAAAAAAAAAAAAAAAGGACTAAACCAAACATCAGGGAATGTTTTAAATAATAATAGTATTTTATATATACTCATAATGTAGATAAATATATATGTATACATATATCATTTAAATTCAATTGATTTTTTGTTAAAGGCATTATAAAAAAGTCTTGAAAAAAATTAGGTCATCTGTAAGGAAACATAAACCTTACTATACACTAAATGGATCACAGATATTATGCATGCACCCCTGATGTAGGCTAGTGAAAAGGGCCTTCACTTTAGCAGCAGTCTTTTGAAAAGCACACAATCCTAGTCTAATCACAAAAATGACAAACTCTAAGGAGTCACTCTATAGGATACACAAGACCAAGGTCTTTATGAAAAAAAGAATGAGAAACTTGTGAGATCAGAATAAAAAAGACACTGCATCCAAATTCAGTGTGGTACTCTTAAATGGGTCATGAAATTTAAAAAATAGTGAAATTTAAATAAAATCAACAGTTATTAATGTTAAAATACTGGTTTCTTAGCTTTACAAATATACTATGTAATATATTAACAACAAAAAAACTGGATGAGGGTATAGGGGAACTCAATTTTTGCAACTTTTTAGTTAACCTAAAATCATAAAAAACACCTTTTGACGTATAATATTCATACAACATGCAAAAATGTTATCTGTACAGCTTTGTGATGTTTTTACATAGGTACATACAATTGTAGCCACATTTGATAAATACAGTTCTACCAACTAAAATAATTTTTCTACCCA